CATCGCATTGACGTCTGTAGTTCTAAAGTTGGCTGAGAAAGCCATCCTCAGTCGCTTGCAGTCACTTGTCACCATTCCCCGTGATCCTCTTCACGTATAAATCCAACAGATCCACTTTGGATGCTGTGTCTACTGTGGTCCATTTTATAAGTAAGTCATTAAGCAGCCAAATCTGTTTGTTGCGCTTTTCTCGTTTATTCGTCTGTTTTTGATTCCATGTTCCGGTCATCCCTCCTTTTTAAGCTTGCATCTTTTGGCACCCCGAGACAGCTGCTTTGGTGGCTTTCTGATTATTTCACCTAAAGAATCTAGTGCACAAAGCTGGGCAAGTATACCTCAAGTCCACTGGTCAATAATTCTGGCGTGCTTCAAGGTGCTGTCCTCTCTCCGTATCTTTTCTCTGCTTTCATTAGTGATCTTTCATTTCCACACCCTGCTCATATCCAAAAGTATGCTGACGATGTCGCTTTATGTTAGACCGTTTCTTCTTCGGAATTTTCCTCCACTGAAAATCTGTCCCGAATCGAATAGTTTTCAAGCCAGTCTGGCCTTAATCTTAGCACATCCAAATGCTTGGAGTGCATTTTTAGTTCTTCCCGCTCTACATTCTCGTCAGACTCTGTAACCCTTAATAGTAACCTTTTGCCCATATTGACCTCAACCAAATATTGATAATAATCTTCGGTGGTCGACACACATTCATAACTGTATGGGGAAATTTGGGCGTCTCTCCTTTCAGTTCCAAACGCTCAGACAATTTCGCACTCCCCAACAAGTTTTGTTCTCTTTTGTTAAACAATGCATTCTCCTTATTTTACTTTACTGCTCCCCTGTAGAGCTTCTCGGTCTATTGAAACAAGACTTTAAAACTATCCGTCGTGGATTGATGATAATAAGCCGCACATCTTTGATTTCTGCCGAATCATTTATCCTAGAACTTATTAACGGTCATATGAATTCTTGTGTGACCTTTGCCAATAAGATTCTAAACGACCCCACCCATCCTTTGCATTTTGACTTATCTTCTTGTCACTCCCACTGGATCACTCGTTCCTCTTATCGGTACTTCCCTCTCGATTAAATATTTATAAAACCTCCACCATACCGTGTCTGGCTGGCATCTTGACCAACAAGAAACGAGTTATAAATGAATTACTTCAATCTTTAATTGAATGAATCACACTTTGGTGACATCTTTTGTCCAGCACTATATTGGATCTGTCGATACTTCTATATTTTCTCCGGTGTGACGACCAGTCTGCAATTTTTAACTGAAATGTAAGCATGGGAGTGAGAAGAGGAAGTGGACTGTTGAGAAGGATGGTTTTCCAAATGGGTACCTAAGACTTTAGGGCACGGCATACTTCGCGGTAGCCCACACCGACGAAGGGGTTTTTCTTTGAGAATCCTAACCGGAGCCTTTGACTCGAAAGTCTGACCCACAAGGCGGTGGGGCGTAAATCCAACGCGGGAGCGTGAACGAAGCACCCTGTGGGAGCTTTTAGAGACCTGTCACGTAAGGCCTTCGGGTTTCGGTTAAGTTTGGTGCGTTGCTTGTCGGTCCGCTCAGCATATCTCAACTTGCAAAAGTTATAAAAATACAAATGCAGTGTTCAGCGCGCTGAAACATCTTTGGGCTCGTGAGATCCATCATACCTGCCTTCACTGCTCCTCAATTGTCGGAAATATCCTTTTCCATTTTTACTTCCTTCTATGGTATACATAACGATACAATTTTCATAAACGGGGAAGCGACCAATCAAACGGCTGTCATACAACACTCAGTGGTGAAATTCATGCGGTGGTGATGGGTCTAAACCCACGTCCATTGAGGTGATAATTTGGTGACGTTACCACCGCACCACCGCCCCCATCTTATTTACTGATTGATCCTAAATGTGTTATTTCACCCGGAAGTTGTTGTACCCTCCAATTTTTCTGTTCGGTATTGTATTTCTCAACAGCCAATCACGCAATTTACTACACTCTGACTGGTAGGCAGCTATGCTGTCGTCCGGTTCAATATCACGCCTAACCTACCGGGGCCTTATGTGGTTCACCACTTTAAGTCACGAGGCTCAGGTTACCGGTTTCCATCACTGAATAGCAGGTCTTCATGACCGTGGGGTCCACCCCATCTGTTGTTCATCACACTAAGGTATGTAATAAAAAAATTATGAAACATTTTGTAATAACTGATATGTAGTATGCAAAACATTGTTTACAATAATCACTTCGATGGACTACTTTAAACATGTCCGCAAGAACTACACCCCGTGTCGCTGATTAGAGGTTTGTGACGAAGATATACTTCAGGGTTTCAAGCAAAATAATGGCTAAATGAGCAGTTATCGGATGCACATACCTGACGAGGGGTAATCACTGCGCAACCGGTCGTGTGGTTTCAGAGGAATGTCTTCCAGTCCTTTACATATAATTTATTATATATATATATATATATCGATGAGCACCAGGTGAGTCAACAAAACGAGTTGAAAATGAAGGATTCACTTCATTTCCTGAAACCATGTATCAGCTTGCTTATTGCGTTAATTATACCGTTTCAGTAATACAAAAGCGTTTGGATTGAAAACCACCATCTTTTCGATACGCTACCTTGATGCAATCCAATTCAATTGCTTTTTTTAAGCTCATTGAGTAGAAGGCAGTAGAGCCTCGATCTCAACGGATCAGCAGACGAGCTAACGTACTATTTCAAAGGTTGCAGTAGACCTGTGGGCACGTAAAAATGCGTTTCCTGTTACATCTAATTTAGAACAACAACGTGGTGAATAAGCTCGTTTTCAGTTATTCGTAGCCGAAGCTAAACTATTAGGACTCGAATATCTCATTCCTTGTTTATTCTTATTGTTAGTCATATTTAACGTTATGTGATGGCATGATTACGAATAACTGAAAACAAACTTGTTCGCCACGTTGTTGTTCTCAATGTGTTCTGTGGGATTACATCTAATCGTTTGCATTTGACCAGACAATCGTTTACTTTCAGGTTCACGAGTTATAGCATGATACTATGGTGTTCCTGTGACATTACGTACTTTTTCAGTGGTAAAAATTTAAAGGATTTGCAGCATGTTAGTGTAAGACCTCAAGTTGCCTGTTCACGTGCGACTGAGAACTGTCAGAGAATATATACTCTTGGCTAGAGGCTTTGTGACGATACCAGTCAACTCCTCGTTATGTTTCACCTGCAGTTTATTTTTCTCACTGAGGATTTCTTAGGGAACGCAGTCGCTCTATAGTCACCCGTGCTGTGAAACGTCATGCTTCAATCTTAATCTGCTCCACTTCTTGTTGTCCTCGCGTCCATTATACTCCCAGATAACTCTGTCGTCGCTAATCACGCTGCCCTGCAAGCGTTTAAAGATCGGGAAAAGTTCCCACACCCACAAACCCATTTGTATTCGGCCACAATGACCAAAGATGTGGTGAAGCTGCGTCGAGCTGCCCTCGCTTCCGATGCCGTATTGGTCAGATGCTTGTCTGAAATGGCCGAATCGACTGTCGGAGGTCATTTGGTCTCTGGACCTCAAACTGCCGTAGTCCTTCAGTCCGCCAAGGAAGTGAACACAAATAAAGCAGTTATGACGAAAACTGGATTCCCGGCGAAATTGGCCCAATACTGTTTGCCCGTCAGATCTGTGGATAAACCGGCTGTGCTAGATTGGCTCTTGGAAAATCCGCTTCCGCAGCAATCAACTGAAACCCATAGTAAGTGGTTGTTCTGAGTCATCGTGCCTTTATCTGGTTATATAGGTATGATATCGCAAGCTGCGATGAATTTCCAAGATGAGGGTGATGTTGCACGAGTTTGGTCAACACCTCTATATGTATGAATACCTCCCTCCAGGTCAACTTGCGTTTTCGCTTGGTGATATTAAAAATCAGTGACTTATCTCAAGTTATTCTCATATCAGAATGTTTTCCTCAAAGTATAATAGCTAGCGCTTTCAGTTCACGAGGTTTTACTGTTTTTCTTCTCTTTAAAAACTGCATCCAGCTGGGGCTGCATGTATCTGAAAACCAGTCTATTTCTACCTACTTGGTCACGACAGGTCATCACACTATTCGAGCATGAATGTTTTGGTACCTCGATTTTAGTTTCCGGGGCCCACAGATTCGAGGCTCTGTTGAGGTCCTATCCTGATTCAACCATTTTACAATAACATTAATCACTCTTGTCATTGGATAGAGGTAGTCAACGGGCTGTGACCGATGAATTAGTGGGCAGCCCTAGATGGTAGTGTGCCCAAAAATTCATGGATTAATTTAATTGCTANGCAGCCAAACGAAACCCACGCTCGGTAGTGCATGCTTAGTGCTCGTGTAAACTGTAAACGTCTAACATCCAAGTCTCTGGGTGTTCTTTGATGTGACAAAAGGTCGTGTATCCGTTTATCTTTCAAAGGATACGTGTGCATTGATTGCTGTCTTTGATTCCATGCTACTCATTCCTCTTTCGGTTGATCTGGAATTTACTTTGACTCCTCATTCATGATCTTTGCTCATTCGGTATTTTCTATACCTCATGATTACATGTTTTCAGAGCCAACGCTGATCTGTTGCTCGCGAGCTGCACGTCTGAATTTCCACGGACTTCAGTTTTGACATTCCCCTCGTTTTCTGTTGCATTTCTCTACCCCCGCCTTGTCCAGCCACTTTGAACAGCGTGTCGAACAGCAGTAAAGCACAAACAATTGTTTTTTGTAAACGTTGTCAAGAGGCCCTCCTTGTATCCAGATTTCTTCGTGAACGTGGTCACACCGCGATCCCCTTGACTGGTCGAATGAAACACGCCCAACGAAAACAAGCATTGGCCGAT